CTCTAGCTAGATGGAGATCCGAAATGAGGGTGATGATTTCTGCCTTTTGAGCTGATATCCCTGTGGGTATGACTTTAGCCTCTAAATACTTTTGTAAAGTTTTGACCACGTACCCCACGCGTGTCTTACCATCATCCATGAAGCTTAGCCATCTGTGAAGAGGTCTAAGTCTGGATCTTCCAGCAGACAGTTCTACAAATCAGGTTGACTGGAGTACACTGTCTCCATAACTTGTGAGCCGTCATGTTCTAAGGCTTGTAATGTCTTACTAGGGAGCAAGATGGCTGGGTTTATGGAGGATGATACTTGCACCCATACATTTGGATTGTCTGAAAGGATGGCCTGGTATTTTCCCATCTGTCCCAAAGTAAGCCAGTATCCCCCTTTTTGTTCTGATAATGTGAGTACTTGATGTGGCACATATACCTTGGCGGGTTGGCCCAGGGTGAATTTTTCAGCGTCCTGCAGGAAGGCGCAGGTAGCAGCCACTGCCCTGAGGCAGGGAGCCAGCCCTTGACAGTCTGATCCAATTACTTGGAAAAATAAGCAACTGGCCTGAGGATCATGCCCAGTTTCTTAATTAAAAGCTCCAAGCTTATTTTCTGCCTTTCATGTGCATATAAGCTGAAGGGCTTGTCCAAGTTACGAAGCCCAAAGGCTGGAGCTGAAAATCATTCTGTCTTAATGGTATCAAAGGCCACCTGACACTCATTTGCCTATTCTAGTGGCTCCCAGTCCAGCCCTTTTAGAGCCTCATAGAGGGGTTTTACTATGAGTCCATAGTTGGCAATCCAGATCCAACAGAAATCAGCTGTGCCCTAGAATCCTCATAGCTGTCACTGGGTGGTGGGAGGGCTCAGGCATGCTACAGCTTTCTTTCAGTTTGGCAGTAGTTCCCTTTGGCCTTTTGATAAGGTAAATCCTAAGTACGTAATTTTTTGTTTGCAGATCTGTGTTTCTTTTTGTGAGATCTTTTACCCTGTACCTTGTACCATTCAGTGAGATGATTTAATGTCTTTATTGTGACCTTATCTTTATCTGCAGTCTATGTACCCACATTCAGTCAAATGATTTAAGGTCCTTAGTGTGTTGGCCAGACACCGCTCATTAAGTGGGGTTTGCTATCACCAAGTCATCCATGTACTGTAACAGCAATCCTTCTTGTAAAGGTAAGCGGCTCAAGTCTTTAGCTAGGGCCTCCCCAAATAGCGTAGGGGAGTTTTTGAAGCCCTGGGGGAGCACTGCCCCACAATATTGTTGAGAAGCCTGAGTAACTGGGTCACGCAATTCAAAGGCAAAGAGTTGTTGCAATTCTTCCGTGAGCAGAATGCAAAATAATGCCTCCTTTAGTCAAGAAATGAAAACCAGTATCCACCTGGAATGTTGGTTAGCAAGGCGTCATGGCTAGGCACCACAGGGTGATGATCCTGAACCACCTCATTTATGGCATGAAGGTCCTGAATGAACTGATATTCATCAGAATTGGGTTTCTTGACTGGGAGAATAGGAGTATTATATGGCAACTTGCAAGGTCTGATTAATCCTGTCACCAGGAATTTCTGCAGAACTGGCTGAATGCCCTGCTAAGCCTCCTGTTTTAGAAGGCTCAGAGATATTGTTTCAGGCTAGGCTTTATCATTTGGGTTTTTAAAGGTATATACGTTGGCTGGACATTCTTTGCTTTCCCAGGCTTCCCATCTGTCCACATGTCTGGTCTTGCCTCCTTGTGAATCTCCGGTGGCAGCAGGTCCAGCGGTGGTGTTTGAACACCTAGCAGGGCCACGTGGAACTGTAAGGATGATTGTTCCAGCGGCACTTGCACCTCCAGCTGGCCTGGAACACAAGCCACTTGAGCATTCAGTTTACATAGAAGGTTTCATCCCAGGAGCGGAACAGGGCATTCAGGCATATATAAAAAAAGAATTTATATTTGTTGACCTGGGGTTTTAGGTAGAAAAGATGAAGGAAAACAAATTAGTGCTCCTTTGAGGGTCCTCTCGGTATGGTCGGTAATTATTTTTCCAATTAAAAAGATCCAAGGTAGAGAAAGGAGAGTGCATCTGAACAAAGCTTGCTGGGTGCCCTTGTCCATTTAAGCCCACGGGATATTGATACGCTGGATATTACCCTGCTCTTGGAAGGGCCCCTTGACCCAGTTGTCTCCCTTGCTGCATTCAAGAGGGAGAGAGTCACTCTCTTAGACCTGGAAGTCCCTCAGGCATTTCCCCTTGGGCAAGTGGAGGGCCTGGAAAAGGGGGAAGAGGAGGAGGAGGAGCCGGGGGTGCTGTCCGTGGATTTCGGGTCTCTAGGACCATTAAATCCTCATCCTCCTTCTGCCCCTCCTACATGACAGAAAGTCTTGGAACCATTAGGTGACTCTTCAGTCAATTGTCCCCCCTTCCCTGATTTAGATACAGTAGCATAAGGGCTTGGACATAGGGGATTCTATCTTCCTTTTCTTCCTTCTTGCAGAACAATTCTAGCTGTAATATGGTATCATAATTAAGTGACCCGTTTGGGGGCCACTTTTCTGCTGAGCCTAGTATATACTGGGGCCACACTACATTACAGTAAAAGATCATCCTTTTCTTTGTCTGGGCTCATAAATGAAATTGGCCCAATTGGCCAGCATGCACCGTAGTGCGCCTTTATTCTTTGGGACAGATGGAGTGGCGCCCATGGAGGAAAAACTGGCACACAGCGAAATCCCACTCTCCCTGAGCACACAGTTCTCCCACCAGTGCTAGACCAGCCAAAGAGGCAAGAGGTAATGGTTTAACGTGGGGTAAAGATCTACTTTCCCAATACTGGTGTAGGGGGTCAGGGGCCTGGCAGAAAGTTTTTAAATCTTCTATTTTGCAGAAAATCTAAGCCCAGCTTACTTTAAGCCCAAACCTAATTTCCACACAATGACAGCAAAGAAGGTGCCAGACAAGACAGACAAAGAGAAGGAAAAGATGATCAGGCCATGCTCTCACAGCTTCCTCCTAAGGGTTAACACACAAACAGCAGTGCCCCCACTGAGGCGTACAATTCAGGCTTGACACTTGACAGAAAAGGTTGCAGACTTCATGTCCCCACAGATGACATAGCAAGGACTGGAAGTATGCTGTGGGATTCTGACACAGAGAAAACTGGCACACAGAATAGTAGAGCAGCACAGACACTCAGGAGAACAGAACACACAGGTGTGTACACCACGGATAAACCAGAGACTAGTCCTCCAGATAATATACTAGGCAGTCTGTCCTTTCCTTTATCCCTAAACAACGGTGCCTAAACCAGATGGAGCTTGGGCTGACTGAGGCCTGCAGATGAGGAAAAAGGAATATAGTACCCAGGAGTGCACTCCGGACAACCCACCTAGCTGCAGACACAAGCTCATCAGCTTACCATCCAGTCCTTCGTTTCCTGATCACGGAAGCATTAGATGCAGTCTGCAAGTGAGGAGGCCACAAGGGGAATTCCCTGGGTGGAAGGGAGAAAGAAAAAGCCACCCAGCAGCTGTGGGGAAAATCTCAAAACAGCTTCCTCCAAGTTGACTAGCAACGAGCAGAGGCTATGTCCCATCTGGGGTGCCAGAAATTTGTTACCGAGCAGTGGGCTCCCTCTGCTTGCCGCAATCTGAACCAATTATTCATAACAAGTTAGGGATAGCAAAAGGAAGTTTTATTTCAATTAACTGGCATAATTGGGAAGATAGCAGACTAATGTCTCAAAAAAAAATCTTCAAAAATTACAGAATCTTGAGGTAGATATATAGGGAAAATGGGCAGTGAGGAGAGGGTCGAGGGACGTTGGTCTCCAAATGTGATGGGCTTCAGGCATCGCATTGTTCCATTCTTTTGTCAGTTGTGATGGATACCTTGTAGGTGTGTTTCCCACCCGTGGTCAGCCTGTTCCTGGAGAGAAACTCATAGAACAAAGTTTTAATTCATCAAGCTACAGGTGAGTGCATGCGTAAGTTGAGCCATAAATGAGGAGAGCATGTGAATTATTTTATAAAAGTGCAGAGCAGCTAGTAGTCACATAGAGGAGGTACTGGCGTCGTTTAGCATAATAAGATGGACTCACTCACGTTCACTCACGATAATAACATGTAGGGGAAGGATCCCAGCTAGAGATAATATCCATTTGCAAAAAACACTCAGGCAAAGTTGACATAACCTCTTTATATAATATTAGCTCAAATATTTAATCTTCATAATGTTATCAACATTAGTGGCCTAACCATTGCCCCAAATGATTGTTGGTCAGATTTCTCATTGTGATTTCTGTCTCCTGGCTTTATCTTCTTTTTCAAAGGTTCATAATTGAAAACATTCCAATTTTGCAATATGCAACCTAGAGGGCTGCCCCTGGGAACGGAATCTGAATTTCCTGTTAAGGCACTGTACACACACACACACACACACACACACACACTCACACGCAAACACACATATGAAAACAAATGGGGCCAAAGTGTTCCTCTGTGAATGAAAAACCTTTAGTCCTTTCAACAAATCAGCGCCCCTCCCCTCGTCTGGAACAAACTCCAGTAACCTGGAACAAAAACCCCTGAAACAGAGGTAAACAAATGAAGGGAACACTAAGACTTCAGTCAGTTATAATGAGGAAACTCCACTAAAGAACATCCATTGCAAACCAAAACAAATGGAGCCCAAGGGCTGCAAGTGTACTAAAGCTCTGATTACCCATTATTTCCAGCCGGTCCTGTTGGAAAGGGTTAGCGCAAAGACAAAAACAAAAACTGCCTGCTACTTACAAGAGATGTCTTCCCAAGTCCTGAACCTAGTTTCTTCCTCCACCAAAAACAAAAGGGCCGTGGGCCAACGACGTCTGGTCAGCAGCCAATCGCTCGGGGCTGTCCCTGAGACAAAGGGCTCAGGCAGCTGCAGGACAGCTCCAAGGCAGGCTCTTTGCCCAAGGCCGGTGTGCCACAGGCAAGACGTCCACTAGGGACTATGTCCCATCTGGGTCGCCAAATTTGATACCGAACCTGAAGTGAGTTTGCTCACCAGTCATGCAGCAAGCCAATCTCTGACACCAGGTGTAGGGAAAGTAAGTAGGAATTTTATTGCAAAGAGCTGAGCAAGGAGAACAGGCAGCTAACACCGTAATCCTTAACTTTCTGAAAATCTGAGAGCAAGGGATTTTATTTGGGGTTTTAGGTAGGGGAGGGGGAGCATGTGTCCTTGGTGGCTGAAATTCTAAGAGTCCTCCACACAGGCGTTACTATCTGTTCTATATGTGGCATGTAGTGGATTTTTAGTCTTGACAGCTAAAGCTTACAATCAGTCATTTTAGCTTCTGAATGCTCCTGCAAGATGCTTAGTCAGGCGGGGGGCTGTCAGCAAGTTCCTCTCTTATCAGTGGTCCTCCTGGTGTTCTGCAAGGTGAGATCAGAAACTCTGGTTATTTTGTTTCCCCCATTTACCTGGTGGGGACAAGACACAGTTTCACCGTAATCCAGGAAAATTTTAACTCCTTCATCCTCAGGTTCAATCTGCACTCTATCGAATCATTCCTTAATCTTGGGGAATGGGGGCGAAGACTGCTCCAGCTGCTTCCTGCTGTGAAAGGGCAAAATTCAAGGTCAAAGGAATGAAATAGTTCTACCTTTATTTTAAAATATTCTTTGGCACTAGGTGGGGGAGAGAGAGGTATGTTCTGCATGACTAATATTTTAGTACTCTGTTCAATGGCTTTGGAACAACACTTACGTCCACATTTTATAATTACATAGACAACCACACATATTAACAGAATAGATCGCCCAAATCTTAGCATTCCCTCCATAATGGACCTTAATCCTTGGGTAATCCAAGAGAAGAGGCCTGTAGACCAATCAAGGTTAGGATCTGTAACCTGAAGTGAAATCTGATGTCAAGAAGAAGAAGAAGAAGGGATAACAAGTAATGAGATTGAAACAGTAATCAAAAACCTCCCAAAAAATAAAAGTCCAGGACTGGATGGCTTCTCTGGAAAATTTTACCAAATATTCAAAGAAAACTTAATACCTATCCTTCTCAAACTATTCCAAAAAATAGAGGAAGATGGACCACTTCCTAACTCATTCTACGAGGCCAACATCACCCTGATACCAAAGCCAGGCAAAGACAATACTAAGAAGGAAAACTACAAGCAATATCCGTGCAAAAATCCTCAACAAAATATTGGAACCGAACACAGCAATACATTAAAAAGATCATACACCATGATCAAGTGGGATTTATACCAGGGACACAGGGATGGTTCAACATCTGCAAATCAATCAATGTGATACACCACATGAACAAAACGAGGAATAAAAACCATATGATCATCTCAATAGATGCAGAGAAGGCTTTTGACAAGATCCAACATCCATTTATGATAAAAACTCTCAACAAAATGGGTATAGAAGGAAAGTATCTTAACATAATAAAGGCCATATGTGACAAACCCACAGCCAACATCATACTCAATGGGGAAAAACTGAAAGCCATCCCTCTGAAAACAGGGACAAGACAAGTGTGTCCACTCTTGCCACTCTTATTCTTCACAGTACTGGAGGTTCTGGCCGGAGCAATTAGGCAAGAAAAAGGAATAAAAGGAATCCAAATAGGCAATGAAGAAGTGAACTGTCGCCGTTTGCAGATGACATGGTCTTATATATAGAAAACCTAAAGAATCCATTGGAAAACTGTTAGAAATAATCAACAACTACAGCCAAGTGGCAGGGTACAAAATCGACTTACAGAAATCAGTTGCATTTCTATATACCAACAACAAACTAACAGAGAACTCAAGAAGACAATCCCATTTACAATTACAACAAACAGAATAAAATATCTGGGAGTAAATTTAACCAAGGAAGTGAAAGACCTATACAATGAAAATTATAAGACATCACTGAGTGAAATCAATGATGACATGAAGAAATGGAAAAATATTCCATGCACTTGGATTGTAAGAATAAACATAGTTAAAATGTCCATACTACCTAAAGCAATCTACAGATTCAATGCAATCCCAATCAGAATCCCAAGGACATTCTTCACAGAAATAGAACAAAGAATACTAACATTCATATGGGGCAACAAAAGACCCCATATAGCTGAAGCAGTCCTGAAAAGGAAGAACAAGGCTGGAGGCATCACAATCCCTGACTTCAAAACATACTACAAATCGATAGTAATTAAAATAGCATGGTACTGGTAGAAAAACAGACACACAGATCAAAGGAACAGAATTGAAAGTCCAGAAATAAAACATCATATCTATGGGCAGCTAATCTTTGACAAAGGAACTAAGGACATACAGTGGAGAAAGGAAAGTCTCTTCAATAAATGGTGCTGGGAAAACTGGACAGCCACTGGCAAAAGAATGAAAGTAGACCACCATCTTTCACCATACACAAAAATTAACTCAAAATAGATCAAAGACCTGAAGGTGAGACTTGAAACTATAAAACTCCTGGAGGAAAATATAGGTAGTACACTACTCGTCATCAGCCATGTAGGGAATGAATTTTGACTTTTTGAATTCTGTGTCTACTCAGAAAGGGAAACAAAAGAAAAAATAAACAAGTGGGACTTCATCAGATTAAAGAGCAAGGCAAATTAAACCAGGATCAAAATGGATAGGGAACACACCAGCTGGGAAAAAACGTTTGCAAACCATATATCTGACAAGAGATTAATCTCCATAATACATAAAGAACTCAGACAACTGAATAACACAAAAACAAACAACCCAACCAAAAAATAGGCAGAGGAAATGAACAGACACTTCTCCAAAGAAGATATACAGATGGCCAATAGGCATATGAAAAGACGCTCAACATCACTAATCATCAGGGAAATGCAAATCAAAACCACACTAATATATCATCTTACACCTGTTAGAATGGCTATAATCACCAAGACAAAAAACAAAAAATGCTGGAGAGGCTGTGGAGAAATGGGAACCCTAATCCACTGCTGGTGGGAATGCAAACTAGTGCAGTCTCCATGGAAAACAGTATGGAAATTCCTCAAAAAATTAAAAATAGAAACACCCTATGATTCAGCTATCCCACTACTTGGTATCTACCCAACGAACCTGAAATCAACAATCCAAAGAGGCTTATGCACCCCTATGTTCATTGCAGCATTATTCACTATAGCCAAGACATGGAAGAAACCCAAATGTCCCTCAACTGATGATTGGATAAAGATGTGGTATATATATACCATGGAATACTACTCAGCCATAAAAAAGACAAAATCATCCCATTTATGACAACATGGATGGACCTGGAGGGTATTATGTTAAGTGAAATAGGCCAGAAACAGAAAGATAAACAGTGCACGATTTCACTCATATGTGGAAGATGAACAAACACACGGACAGATAGAACTGTTTGGTGGTTACCAGGAGCTAGGAGGGTGGGAGGGTGTGCACAAGAGGTGGAGGGATGCACTTATATGGTGACTGATTAACGATAATGTACAACAAAAATTTCACAATTAAAAAAAGAAAAAAAAAAAGCAAGCTCTACCTCAAGTCTTATTGCATAGGAATCTATTGTGTAAGCATGACTAGGTAGGACAGTGGTCTAATTTTATCCAAATTTCCTAAAAATGCAAGTCAATTTCTGCCGGAAGTGGAGGAAGCATATTACTTATCTTTCTCTCTGTAGGTATACTGTGCATGTATTGTGGAGGCTGTGTCCTTCCAGATGGGTAAAATAAAAGGGAGCAAAAAGCAAATACAAGAAAATTGCTTCTGTTGACTCATATGGGAAGGTGTAAAGTCATATTCACCAATCTTTTGGGGGACAGATTTTTAATTGACCATTTGGAATTCTCAAAATTTCCTATTAAACATCATATGGAACAAAAAAATAGAAGAAGTCAAAAAGAAGTCAAGAAGAAGAAGCTAACCTGAAGTGAAATCTGATGTAGCCAAGTAGCCTGCTGTCTAATAGTCCAACAAGTAAGGTAAGAACCCGGGAGTCATTTATTACATATCTTTAGGAGACCATCTTCTCTACAGCAACTTGAGGTCTATCAGAGGTTCATTTGTCCATTTGGAGAAGTCAGTGTCTAGAGTAAGAAGTCAGCCAAGGTTTGGGTGACCCTGGTTGTGATGTTCTTCTGTGGCATGGTTCCCATTCCCTGTGGCATTTCATGTATGGTCCCATCCAGTGGGGATGGAATTGATCTTCTGGATGCTTGTGTTTACAGGAATTTAATAGGACAGAGTCTCCATGAAAAAGATTGTGCAGAGCAACATCTGACAGTGTCTAGTTCCTTAATTTGAGTTCTCTCTTGGTCTTTCAGATCATCTCTAGAACATAGGAAAGGTTTCCCAAAGATAGGCCTATATTGTGCGAGCAAGTAACCAGATATTTAACAAGAAGCATTTATAGAGAAAGAAAAAGAAAACAAGGCTAATGGTGGGAGCAAATTATAAATTAATTCCTGAGCCCAATGGATGGCAAGTCAAGAAGATTTCTAGATGTCAGGGTCAAAGCATCTTTTGCAGTTTGAAATGTCTCTGATGATGTCTTTGGGTGCTCAGGTAAACTATTTGAGTGGCTTATACAGCAATAGACATGAAGATCTTCCAAACATGGGCTATCATGCTGTTCTATCTTGCATTTAAATTAAGTTTTCCAGCTTCAGTTTGTCAATAGAAAACAAAACCCTCAAAGATAATTAACAGAATGAGAATCCAATATCCACAAATGTGTAATAGTTTCTAATGAAATATAATTTTTCTCTCTGAAATCAACCTCATTTTTACCAAAGATAGCTAAATTAAGACTCATTGGTTCACAAAATAAATATAGTTTCAATAAACTTGGCCCAACTATTTTCATAAGAATAGCAATTGATCACATAGGGTCTTTTAAATCTGCTTTGCTGGAACTTTTCATAAGGAATCTCAGATTGAACTTTTTATTTATTTATTTATTTATTTATTTATTTATTTATTTATTTATTTATTGTGAGGAAGATCAGCCCTGAGCTAACATCCGTGCTAATCCTCCTCTTTTTGCTGAGGAAGACCGGCTCTGAG